GCTGAGAAGTAGATTATTTTCAGGGATATTTAGGAGGTGAAATGACTAAGCTCAGTGATAGACTGGATGTATTTACTACTTTATAAATCTATTACATTAATAAATACATTGATAACACTAGGCAATAAATCTGCATTGTAAGCAAGGTTATGAAAAAATAAAAATGCTTTGTAAATGTCTATGCACCACATATGAATGAAAACACATATTTTGGAAATTCACCAATTTTAGACTGTTTAGATCTGTAGACAAAGTAAATATATCTTATGATAGAAAATAACAGGTGAGGGGTTTGTGTGTGTGTGTGTGTGTGTATGTGTAACAAATACCCTCATTGGTTTTTCTTCCAAATTAAGTCATATGTTTTAATTTAAGGAACATGTTTAAATGTATAAAAAAAAGAACCTTACGATTCAGAGAATTTCCATAAAGAACAGGAGTTTAAAATAAACTTTAACAAAAAACCAGTGAAACAGAAGTGATGATTGACATATAACATGTAAGTGCAATGTTAGCGTTCATTCTAAAAAGTTAGTGGGAATCTCAATAAAGATTTCCAAGAGCCTTTGTACTCTGATGAAAGGGGTGGGGGTTATGTTGGGGGCTCAATGGAAAAGAAAAAGATTCTCTCCACTCTTTATCACCAGGCTGGGGGTATGATCCCTGTATCTGCAAAGTCAGAGCCCTATATGCACAAATTTATTCTTAATGTTCTTCAGATACAAGAAAACATAATTTTTTGCTCATTTAATGTTATCTTACTAACAACCAGAATCCCAGGAATTACTTTTCAGGCTAGAGCTCCTATTCTGCACTATTTAGATTGCAACAATAATAAAATGGCTTCCAAGAAAATGATGGAGCCGATTTTCCAGATCTCCTCTTTAATGTATTTGATAGTTAATGGTGCAAAATTTGAAATGCAAGGAAAAACACATTCAGTACAGAAAGCGGCGGGGGGCGGGGGGGGGGGAGAACCACAAAAATGTTTCTTCGTAAAATGCTTTTTTCTTTATAATTCCAAAGACAGAATTAGTTTACAGCATCACTGAAAACAAAGACAAATATTTGAAAACTTTCTAAGCGTCTGAATCATTTAAATTAAATTTGTAAGGTGAATGTGAGCATATAAAGAATATTATTATCATATACTCTATAGCAATGGCCATTTTCTGGCAGGAGGTTAGGAGCTGAGTCATGATAGCACAGGGTTTGGGCTCTGCATGGCTTCCCTCCCTTCTTCCTGCCTCCTCTGATCTGCCCTCTCTCAAAGGTTTTCAACCATTCCCTGCAAGTTATAGAAAACAAATGACTATTAAAATACTGTCAAACGAAATACAGGAAATTAGTAGCATGGAAATAATAGTCTTATTCTCATTTAAAAGGTAAAATAAAAGACAGAAGGAAAAGCCCCACCCTAAAACTCAAGCCCTAAATATCCTCTGCCCCATTCTTCTGTTCCTCATCTCTATCTCAGTGTTCCCATAAGTCTTCAGACTGGGGGGAGGGGGGCACTTGTGCTTCTTTGCATTTCTTAGTGGGAGGGGTTATCACTTCTTTTCACAGCTGAGAGGTGGGAAGGACTTGGAACTGCTAGAGAAAATGTTGAAATTTTAAATGTATGGAAGTCATTAAATTACAGTCATGGTTCTTAAAGGAAAAAACTATTGGTATTAGATACACTGAATTTATATACTTTGACCAGAGCAGTTGCTTGTGTACGTTTTATGCCAAAGAGGTAAATAACAAATTTTATGTCAACAAACCATAACTTTAAATTTCTTCATATTCTGCATTTAAAATTTCAATCCCAGAAATTTTGTCTCAAAATTTAGAAATCACTGATATAATGCTGACTTTTATGAGTAGCTATTTGTGATTATGTCACCATAGTTGGTGGGTACTAAAATTTGGTATAATATCAGTTTAAAGCACCATAAAAGAAATAAATAACAACATTATTTTCATCTCTGGATTCACCAGCTCTAGGGTAAATACATTTTCCCCAGGGTTTTGATAGACATGCACAGCACCAGTCACACCTCCTCCCATGAATCTTTTGTACCCACAGACATATGTATACCTTTCAACATCCAAGATGTACAGTTGAGCTCAACAGTGAAGTCTTTGTTTTGGCAAATCTAAATGATATGTGTAAACTTAGGCTCATTTGCATTTTGCTGTAAGCCCAAATCACTATGCATTTTAGTTTTCTGAATGATTTAGGACCTTAGAGAAGGGGCTACAGCCATTATAAGGGACAGAAGTATATTCTAATGTGTTTTTGAGCACAGATGCTCTTCAAAATCCATGGAGTGACTGGGGAAGGCAATAATGTCACAAATTTCAATGAGGTGGCAATCTCCTGCTTTCAGTCCTTTTGTTCTAAGTAATTTCTCCTTTCTTAATAAGGGGGAGTCAAAATATTTACACTATTTGCTGGCATGGTTACTGGGTAACCTAAGCAAAGTATAAAGAGATGGAAAAATAACAATTTGCATAATGCTATCATCCACTGTAGATTAAACACATGAAAATAGGAAATTAATCTTAAAACTGAAAAATATCTATTGTCCTAGCAGGTTTCACTACTATGACTGATTATGCTTTCTGGGTATAATATTAAATGCAGAAAAATCAATCATGTAGGAAAATAATCTTTTATTAGTAGGAAAGTTGATCTCTTTGCTCAACTTAAATACCTTATATTTAATCCCTATGGTTAAAAATCCCTGATGATTAAGAAAGGGTTAATTCTCAATATACTGCCTAAGGTAGGTTTCTGGAAATATATTCACTACAGGAATTCATTATTTAGTAACATGGACTGAAGTCAAACCTTAAAGCATAAGAGATTTATTGTTTCAATCTCTTTCAAGTCACGCAATTAAAGGAACATGAGTTTGGGGGCCAGAATGACCTGGCTTTAAATCAGAGCTGGGTTTCTTGCTAGCTGTGAAGTCTCTGGGAAATCACTTAACCAAAACTATCTATTTATTACCCTCCTGAAGTGGGTGAATACCACTTACCTTGCAGAGATGAGACATGTCCAGGACACGGTAATTACATGGTAATTATTATAGTTACACAGACAGTAAATAGGAAGATACTGATTTCTTATGTATCTCATATCATTCACAAAGCTCCGTGTTAATTACACAATGCTTGTAAGTAAGGATCACAATAATAATGTAACCTCTTGGCAAAATCTCTGCTGCATAGCATGCAAGTATTTTTTCTAAGTATTATACCTGTAGCAACATTCAACATTCACCAAAACTCTATGAGATACTATTTATTATTCTCATTGTACCAATAAGGAAACTGAGGCACAGAGAGGGTAAGTAATTTGTTCATGGAGAAGAGTCTGGATTCAAACCCTGGCAGTATGACTGCAGAGCTAAAAACCCTGAATATAACATTAATGTAAGATTATTGCCATTCATTCATCAAGTATTACTGAATACACACAAAGTGCCACACGTTGTGCTAGGCGCTAGTGTCCAAAATCTGTATTTGTCAAAATACAGAACCTACAACCTTTACGGAGCTTATAATTGGCAACGGAGGCAATTACACCACCTCAAAGTGATGACTCAAAAAGCTGTATTTCTCTGGATTTGAAAAAAAAAAAAGGTCTTCTTCATATTACTATTAATAATCATACAATTCTAAAAATTATGGTACAACCATAACTTACTTATAGAACTGAGCAGGATTTCTATATCTTCTAAATAAAAGTGAATAAAAGTGTCACTGTACTTAGTTCATCTTCCCATCAAGATCTTTTAGGAACAGATAGAAAAATTGTTCTTAACATTATTACTATAGTGTGTTTAACATATTACCACCAAAATGGGTTACAAAAAGAATGGTCATTAAGAATACCAAGAATTTGGGGCGCCTGGGTGGCTCAGTGGGTTAATGCCTCTGCCTTCGGCTCAGGTCATGATCTCAGGGTCCTGAGATCGAGCCCCGCATCGGGCTCTCTGCTTGGCGGAGAGCCTGCTTCCCCCCTCTCTCTCTGCCTGCCTCTGCCTACTTGTGATTTCTGTCTGTCAAATAAATAAAAAATAAATAAATAAATCTTTAAAAAAAAAAAAAAGAATACCAAGAATTTGATCAAAAGGTAGATCAATGGTAAAAGTAACTCAAACAAGTAGCAAAGGACTACATATAAAATAGTCCTATTTTGATGCACATAGAGATAAAAAAGCAGGGACACCATGACCAGGCATACAGATCTCCTGCCTCTATTACCTTTTTGTCTTTTCTTTCCTCTCCCCTCACTAGAAGTCTTCAACATTCTTTTAAACTGTATTAACTACACAAATAATAAAATAAGTAGGCTTCTGATTACCTGAAAAAACTTTATGAGCTTTAGAATTAGGGCTACTCTCATTTCCTTTAGGACAGAATAATTATACCCTATCAAAATAAAAAAAAAAGCTGTGCACAATGTATAACTGAAAAACATAGTATAATACCTATAATGTATATAAAATAAAATGATTTCATTAAAATACAGAGTTACCCTTGTAAGTTTAACCATTTTTGTTTAAAACGACTGTACTACTGCATACTAGTAATTATGTAAATTAAAATTGGGCCAATAATCTAACAGCAGTAGGTTCTGCCTTTTATCCTTTTTTTTTTCTTTTTTTTTTTAAAGGGGAAACAGGTTGTTCAGAAGCCAAGAGGGTTAGTAAAAGGAATGGAATCATTTTCAATTCCGTTTTGGTGAAGGTTATTCTAAAGAGCAATGACTCCCCCCACACACCCACCCTTTTGTCATTAAACAATAGAAACTAAAGGTCAGTAAACAACATGGAAATCAAAAGGAAAAGATGGTGTAAGTGATCTTTAAAAGGCACCTGCATGTAATTAATATAAAACTATTGGTTTTGCAAGTATTGCCAATCTAGACAGGAACAGCATTTTCCTAGTTCTGAGTCCAAAGAGGGAGAGCTAGAGCTCTCATACCCCCAAACAGTGCTCACCTGATTCTGTTTGTCTTCTGGCAACCCCTGGTATATGGCTGAAACTTGCAGGAATTTTCCCAAGATGTGGTTACTTCCCGTCCCTCCTTTTTATTGATTGTCTGCAATTCCCTCAGTTAAAAAACAGGCATCCTTCATATTTTTAAAGTTTATTTAGCTTTTCAAGTGCTGTTTGTGGTATCTGGAACTTTTTTTAAGAGGAAGTCTGAAGGTTCCTTGTAAAGTTTCAGGTACATCGACTGAATCTTTCATTTGCTTATGTACAGAACACTTTTACATTTGCTTTTAAATTTCACTGTTTGGCTTGAAACTTCTTGGAGGAAGAAAACAGTATCCTTTGAAGTTATTGCCTAATTTTTGGCATTTAATTCAAATCATGCCTCACTGGAGTGTATTTCTAACATTCCAAAGGCATATTTCCTTCCCGATTCAGTCATTATGAGATGATATCAGTGACTTTCTGTAGTAAAAAATATGCATTTTGTGATTCATTTCGCCACCTCAGATTCTCAGACATAACCTTTTTTGTGCGGTTTATTCAAACAGTGGTTTTCCTTATGAAATCCTGTAAGGAAGAACCATCTGGAAAGGTTACTGTGGAAACCGCAGGGGCTAGGGGGTGGGGCTAGAGAGCAAGAGATGCCATGACAACCTTTTTCGGGTTTCCCAGGAAACAGGGGTTGCTATGGGAACTGCATCAGTCAGGTCCGAATTAGTAACTTCCGCTGGAAGGAGTGTCTGCCACTTTAATCTTCTTGTGATACTGCAGAAGCTTATCTCCCAGACGCATTAGGAATTTTGTTTGTTTGTTTCTCTCAGCAGCACTGAAAACATCTGTTTCTACACTTTGATAGATGTTGCCAGGAACACACACACAGAAATTCATAGGAATCTGCCTGTCTGCCCCCCTTTCGAAATGCTTAACAAGCCCCAAAGAGTTCAAATGATTTAGTCAGATCAGGACACCTTGGGCATTTCCCTTTGTTCAAAATGGTAGAAATGTTTAAAATTCCGGGAGGGATTCCAAATAGAAATTCCAGTCAAAAAAACAAATAAACTTACGGTGGGTTTACAAGTCATTGTTCTAATTAGACTTCTCATACACGTATCCACAGCGAAGGCAACTGAACTAAATATTCAATAATGTTAATGGGTCCAGCAAAGAGAAGCATCCTTTAAGTATGTGCCTTCTTTACTTAGTAAAGAAACAACTGTCTTTTCAATTCTGAGGTTAGGCAGTTATTCTAACTGTTCTTTAGTTTCATTTCCTCCCAGGATGTACTTTTTTTTTTTTTTAAGAGGGTGTGTACTAGAAATGAAGTTTACAGTAAGTTTGTTCTTTGCGATATTACAGAAGGGGGAGAGAAAAAAAATGGAGAGCTGAGAGAATGCAGCCCACTTGCAAAACTGACACCTGTTTCAGTATGAAGCAGTAGGGAGAGGGAAAATGAAGTGTGCTTTCCACTTCTTCACGTCCTTTCCTTGATGAATGGTCTGGAAATGTATAAAACAAGGGCATACACAGACCAAGGGGGCACGTTCCACACAATACTGAGCACAGCATGTCACTTGTAACATATATTAAACATCAGTAAATATCTTTTTGATGTTGACACAGGAGTTGGGATTATTGTTCGTGGTGCAGGTGGCCGTGGAATTGCCCGTTTTGAAAGGGGTCTGGGGGAACGCGCTATGGTTCATGCCCCCCTCTTCGATCACCATATACTCCGACTTACTCAGAGTCGAGTTACTCCTTGCTTTTCGGAGCTCCTCGGCCGAAGAGGAGAGGTGCTGGCAACTTCCCACGTGCATGTACTGGGCTTGCTCTTCCCCTTCTGTCTCCCGGTGGTAGAAGTAATTGAAGTTGGAAACAATCACGGGTACTGGCAAAGCAATGGTCAAGACACCAGCGATGGCACAGAGCGACCCCACAATCTTACCCCCTATGGTCACCGGGTGCATATCCCCATAACCTACGGTTGTCATGGTTACCACTGCCCACCAGAAGGCATCCGGGATACTGCTAAAACCAGAAGTGGGGTCGTCTGCCTCGGCAAAGTAGACCGCGCTGGAGAAGAGGATGACCCCAATGAAGAGGAAGAAGATGAGCAGCCCCAGCTCCCGCATGGAAGCCTTCAGCGTCTGGCCCAGGATCTGCAGCCCCTTGGAGTGCCGGGAGAGCTTGAAGATGCGGAAGACCCGCACCAGCCGGATGACCCTCAGGATGGCCAGGGACATGGCCTGCTGTCCATTGCCCTGTCGCTCAGCCAGCTCGGTGCCCAGAGTGATGAAATAAGGGATGATGGCCACGATGTCTATCAGGTTCATGATATTTCGCGAGAAGGTGGCTTTGCTGGGGCAAGCGAAGAACCGCACGAGCAGCTCAAAGGAGAACCAGATGATGCACAGGGTCTCCACTACGAAGAAGGGATCCGAGAAGCTGGAGGCTCCAGCTGGTGCCCCCGACGTGCTGTTGCTGGCCTCGAACTGCTCCTGCGACGACGCGGCGGGGTAGTCCTTCTCGTCGCGGAACTCGGGCAGCGTCTCCAGGCAGAAGATGACAATGGAGATGAGGATGACGAGCACGGACACGATGGCGATGCCCCGCGCCGGCCCGGAGCTCTCCGGGTACTCGAAGAGCAGCCACACCTGGCGCTGGAAGTCGCGGCGGGGCAGCGGCCGCTCTTCCTCCCGCAGGAAGCCCTCGTCCTCGCGGAACTTCTCCATGGCCTCCTCGCCCAGCTGGTAGAAGCGGATCTCCTCGGAGAAGATGTCGATGGGCACGTTGACCGGCCGGCGGATGCGGCCGCCCGACTGGTAGTAGTAGAGGATGGCGTCGAAGCTGGGCCGGTTGCGGTCGAAGAAGTACTCGTTGCGGAGCGGGTCGAAGTACCTCATGCGCCGCTTGGGGTCGCCCAGCAGCGTCTCCGGGAACTGGCAGAGGGTCTTGAGCTGCGTCTCGAAGCGCAGCCCGGAGATGTTGATGACCACGCGCTCCCCGCAGCAGTCCTGCTCCCCGGCGGCCGGCAGCGCGGGCGGCAGCGGCTCGTAGCGGTCGCGGTCGCAGCCGCCGCCGCCGCCGCAGCCGCCCTGAGGCGGGCCCCCGCCGCCGTCGGCCGCCTCCGGCTCCAGCAGGTGGTCCCCGGGCACCACCGTCATGTCGGGCGGCAGCGCTGGGCCTGCGGCGGGCTCGGCGTAGCCGGGGTTCACCAGGTTGTGGGCGCCGCCGCCGCTCGCGGGGCGCTGGGGAGGGTGGGCGCGGTGGCGGGCGGAGGGCGGCGGCGGCGAGCGCAGCAGGCTGAGGTGCTCGTCCATGCGGCGGGAAGAGGCGGCGGCGCGGACCGCGTCGCTCCTCCTCGCGCTCCCCGCCCCTCTGCCGCCTCCGCGCCCCCTCCCCGAGCCCGGCCCGCCGCCTGTTGCTGCTGCTGCCGCCGCCGCCGGTGTCGCGGCCGCCGCGAGGCTCAGAGCGGAACTGGCGCGGTCCGCCGGGCTCCTCAGGGGCGACGCCTCCTCGCCCGCCCCCGCGCTGCCCCGCCCCTCCCCCGCGGAGCGCGCGCTCGCCCGCCCCTCCGCGGCCCCTCAGGATGCCCGCCCACCGCGCGGGCGCGCGCCCGGCTCTGCCGCCCGGCGGCTCAACGGGGCCGCGGAGCCCGGGCCCCCGCCTCCCGACCCGCCGACCCCCTCTTTCCGCCGCCGCGGCCCTCTGGGCCGCCCAGGCGCCCTCGCTTTGCACTTCGGTGTCCCCCACGAGCCCCCGCCCGGCCGAGACGGCCCTCGTGGAATCCGGACCCGGACCCCCTCCACCGCTGGTCAGCCCCTCCCCGCCCCCGGCCCGCGTTGCTGCGTTCCGGCCCCGGGGCTTCTGGCCGGGCCTGGGCCCTACCCCGCCGCCCGGCGAGCGGCGGCCGCTTCGCCCTGCACGCGCCACCCGGGCCCGCCCGGGGAGGAAGGCTCATCGGGGGCCGGGGCGGGCGAGGAGAGAGGATGGGGATGCGCTCTGGGCAGGGAGCTTGGTCGAAGGAGGGAGCGACTGGCCGAGTGGGCGTCCTGGGGAAGGGACCCTGAGTTCACTGAGGCTGGGCGACCGCCGGGGCGGGAGCGCTCTGAGCACTTCAGCTCCCGTGCGCAGAAGCCCAACGCAGTAATGGGTTCCGACGACTTTGGCACCCGGGGTCTGAAGAAGATGGGTCATGAAAGGCATTCAGGGACTTTGCTTCTGTAGCGAAGAGTTCTCACTAACGTTCGTGGCGGAGATGCGGGGGGCGAGAATCAAGGACCGAGTTTCTGGTTGGGATGGGCGAGGGCAGCCTGGTCTTTTCAGAAGAGCGAGGTTTCCCGTCGGTGGGAACAGGAGAGGGACATGAGAAGGGAAGTGCACATCTTGTCCCAAGTCTGTCGTGAGAGGGACTGGAGAGCGACCGGCACCCAAACCCCGAACGTTCCACTGCTAGCTTTGTGGTAAGGTTTGCCACGCTCCAGTTGTGAAACCGGGAGAACATTCAGCCGGCAACTTGTAACATCTCTTGCTTGACCTGGGCCTGGAGATAACATTATCCCCTTGGATTCTAAACGGTTTCTTCAAATTGTGGTCCTTTTGACCCCGATTTCTGTGTCTAGACATTTTAGCAACTCCGATTTAGAGCCTACCCTAGACTTTATAATGCATTTCCTACTGTATCATTCAAATCATTCACAAAAGAGAAACTGTTGTCTGGGCTACTCCCTCACCCATCATCCCTTAGCTGACAATTCAACAGGCACCCCACCCCAACCACCAACAAAAAAACCCAGCTTTTTTCCACCCCCCCCCCCCCCGACCCTCCCCCGCCCAGCACTGGCAACCAAGGCTTTCTAGGGCAGAGTCCAGGTCTTACCCAAATTATATCCTGGAAAGTACCAAAGTGCCTGAGAAGTAGTAGGAACTCTGTATGTTTGTCGAATTGAGTTCCCCAACAAGGGAATCTTTGCATTTCTATCTGCTCTGGAGCATCAGGCATTTCTCATTTCTGAACCTGGAACCACTGGGATTCCTGGGATAGAGTGAGAGGAAGCACTTCACAGTATGTACGTTACTCTTTGCTCGGTTATTCCACCTTGCCCTTTTGTGGGTACAACAAGCACTTACCTTCTTTAATGTCCTTTTATCTTTTACTTCGCCTCTAGGTCGGTGCCAGGCACTGCAGACGGTAACGTGTTGTAAGATGGAAAAAGTAGACAATGATGTAAAACACTTTCACAAAACTGAACACTGTTTTTGAGCTGATGATTAGGGTAGCAGTATAATCCATCATTCATATATTTAAAGCTAAGAATAAGACCGTCGGCTTGCTGCAAGGCTGGTGCATAGAAAGGCAAAGACCCTATTTTTAAAGACCAAATGTTTCGTGCACTTCTGTGACTGATCTAGAAAGTGATTTATTTCCTCATTTGCAGGAATTAGTACTGGAATTAATATTAATCAATGGCAAGGAAGAGCAGAACAGAGGATGGTCCTGTGATGGATGGTCCTGTGAAGTATCTTTCCTTCAGAAATGACTCTTTCCATTCCTTTCATGTATTTGCCTTGTCTGGAAGACTGATTATGAGCTTCTTAGGACAGCCTTCACTTTAGATTTGAGGCCCAGAGAAGTTTAGCAATTTTTTCAAGCCTACACAGCTGGTTAGTCGCAGAGCTGGGCCTAAAATCTTGGACCATTTCCAAATCCAGTGTTTACTCTACTGTATCACACTGTGAAACTCTTATGTTGATCACTGTGAGTGCTTAATAAATATTAGATTTCTAACAGCAGCCCATTTGCTTCTGATTGCTGACTAGTTCACTTCAATTCATATTTATTTTAACTGAAAATCATTGCCTTCTGACAGCTAGTCTATTGTTTATAAGAAATGAGTTGGTGGGTGAATTCCAGCCCTGTTGGACAGCAGAACCCATCACAACAAATCAATGTCAAAAATGGTACTTCAGGAGGAACACATACCATTTATTTAGTACCCCCAGTGGAGTAGCTCAAAGTAATTTGAAAATATCTCATTAATCCTCATGACACCCCTGTGGGATAATAATAATATTATTATAATGTTTAAGCATAGAACTGTGGCAAAGCCAACAGCTTCTCTGAGTATGTGCAGATTTTATTCGTATTTCAAGTCTTCACTATTAGAGCGTAAGTCAAACCATCAGCTTTGCAAACAGCAAGGGTAAATCTTGGTTTGGGCATTCTGTGTTGCTCTGGACATCACCTGAGTTTCTTACTGATCCCAAGAGACTTAGAAGTAGCTCGCCAATGACTTGCCAGATGCTTTGCAGCTCCTGGAATAGGTCCAGAAGTGTTTGAGAGTGGGACAAGGCAGGTCTAGAAGTAACCACTATTTATAACGATAGATAAATGAGTGAAAAAAACCCACCTACTATGTGCAAGGTATTGCTCTAGGTGCTGTGGGAGTACAGAGTCTGAACGTAGACTTACCCCTCAATAAACTTGCATGGAGCTGGGAAGACAGGATACAAGTCTGTGAAAATCTTTACCACACATTAGTTAACAAATCAGGGAATAGTTCCAGAAATGTCACAAGATGCCCCGTGACTCTTTGGTCTATTCTCGCCAAGTTGCTACCTGCTGTTTCTCAATCATACTAAACTGGTTCCTACCTCGGGGACTTGGTGCTTGTTCTTCCCTCTGCCTGAAACACACTTTCTCCAGAGTCTCACGTGGCTTTCTCCATCACTTTAGGTCTCTGTTTTTTTTTGTTTTGTTTTGCTTTAAGATTTTATTTATTTATTTGACAGAGAGAGACACAACAAGAGAGGGAACACAACCAGAGGGAGTGGGAGAAGGAGAAGCGGGCTTCCAGCCGAGCAGGGAGCCTGATCTGGGGCTCAATCCCAGGACCCTGCGATCATGACATAAGCCAATGGCAGATGCTTAACGACTGAGCCACCCAGGTGCCCCTAGGTCTCTGTTTAAAATGTCCCATCATCAGAGATAACTTCCCAGACTGCAACCACCTGATTTCAAAGAATTCCCCTTTCTCTCCCCCTTGGTAACTTTCTAACCTCTGACCTCCTTTATTTTTCCTTATTGTGTTTATTTATTTGAAATTAGATTTTCCATTTATTTGGTTACTTGCTTACTGACTATCTCCTGCATTAAAACATAAACTCCCCGATGGCAGGGTTTGACTTTTTTACTTGTATGTCACTAAAATACTTGGCACATAAGAGATGCTTAATCAGTATGTGGTGAATGGTGGAAAGGGAAGGTGTGGTGTGAACGTACATGGCATATTAAGGTACGGTGAGTGAACCAGTTTGCTGGTGCAGAGGGGTTATTCTGGAGAGGTCTTTGTCCAGTTCTGGTTCTGTCTCCTAGAACGAGCTAGGCTGTACAGATAGGCATAAGTTGTTTTTTAAAGTGTCACTTCCTCTTTCTCTACTTGCCCTTCCCCCACACTCCTGAATGGGTCTCTCCTACACTCCAGAATTTTACTCTCAACTGCCCACTGGGATATTCTTATATCAAGAGACCCCAAACTTAATATTTATAGCACTGAACTCATTATCTTTCTCTCCAACGTTGCTTCTCTTCCTGTTTCTCCTATTTCATGCTAGAATACGAAGTCATCCCTGAATCACTCCTCTGCCCCCCACATCCAGTCAGTCACCAAGTGCTTTTTGCTCTCCCTTCAAGTCCCTCTCAGTTCTGTCCTCACCACTTCATTCTTGCTGCCTCTGCCCCAGTTCAGGCTGTCATGACCGTGTCATAACAGGCTCCCTGCTTTCAGACTCTCTTTTATGTATTGGATCCGCCAGGAAGTAGCTGAGTTATTTCTGTAAAACATCGAGTTGATCACATTGCTCTCTGGTGCCGCATGGATGGTTGAACCCTGGTGCTGACTTGACCTTCTGGCAGGAGCTTCTGTGTTCTTCCCACACCACTTACTGGTTCCCACGCCATGCATTTGCAGACTGTTATGCCTCTGTTCGTGCTAGCCACTCATGCTCTAGCTCACTGGACACCCCTTCTACCTTCTTCCCACTGGAGAATTCAATCTTCAAGGCCTAGCTTAGATGTCACCTCTTCTGAGACCTGCCTCCACTCCATGAATGTCAGCCATGATTACCACTGCAAAGAAAACTCAATAAAACTGATTGTAAATGATTTCATGATTTTTCCCCCCATCGGAAGTCCTATAGCATTTTGTTCAGAGCTCCATAAGAGGGCTTTACTGTACTATATTTAGTGTGAATGATATGATCTATTTCCTTATGAGAGTGTGAACTGCTTAATACTAAGAGCTAACATATTGAGCAGTGAACATGCTGTGCTCAGCCAGGACTGTGGTAAGTACTTCACATGCAGTAACCTCCAACCTACCTACCAACCTGTAGGTAGGTAATGTTCCTACTATACTACTTCACACCTGGAGAAACATTGGAGGGCGGGAAAAGTCACTCCTGCAAGCACATAGGATTAGGACATGGCAGAAACAGGATTCCAACCAAGAAGTCCACATTCTCAAGTCCTTCCTTAGACTACTTTTGTGAGTGTCAGAGGGCTTGTCTCATTCATCTGTGTATTTCCAGTCTCCAATATCGTGCTGGTCGATGAGAAGTGATTTTTGAAGAGTATAACTGAAGAAAACCAATTATGAAGCATGAATTCATGGCTCACTAACAACTGATGGATAGCCCACAATGATGGTGTTGGTCCTGGAACTCAACACAAAGGTTATCCATGGGATTTCTTGAATATCTAAATTTCAAAATTCTTTCTTGAATTTCTTCTTGAATTTATTCCAGAAATAGATGCAGATACAGGTGCTGCCTGGGGTTAAGATGGTTCTCAGAATGAACCAGTAGTCCAGTCCGTGTTCTCATATGGCAGGGTGATTTCAAGAAAAAAAAAATTCTATTCAGTAAAGATTGGAATTCTGTCAGCAAGGATGGCAGCCAAAGAGATGAAAGTATTATGTTAGGTCAAGCATTTAAATAAGTCTCGTGTTTTTTCTTGAGCTTCTGTGTGAGAGAGTAGAGATACTGGAATACCTGTGTGGCCTTTTCTGGTTCTGGTTAATTTATTGAAAAATCAGGCACAATCTCACCTCTAATCATAGTTGATATGTGCAATTAATGACAGGATGAGCAGTGGAGCCCTCTGGTATGTACCAATTATTTATTTGCAGATGGGAAACTTAACATCTGTGGAAACCGTTGGATGGTTTTAGATCAACACTACCAAGCACAGAAACTTTCTTTTAGCAAGATGTACAGTACAAATAATACTTTCACGGTGTTTTCCCTCTAAGTTGATCTGACGAAGAATATTTTAAAATATCTAGAAAGTTCCTTCTGTGTCCTCATGTTCCTTCTGTGGGGCACTTGTTGTGAGGCTATGGGTGAACCACAATAAAATTAATTTTAAGAGATAAAAGGAATTTATTTTAGTCACATGACTGCATTGAAATGAATACGAACTGTTGAACATAAATTAACACGAAACTGTGAAACCTTAGCAGACATTTGTGGGAATCTATTGAAATACTATAAGGCCAAGGGTAAATTCCAATTGAGGTTTTTTGTATCGCAGTCTGGTGAAAACCAAAACATATTTTATTAATCTACAGACAAAATGTTACAGTGTTATTACTTTGTCACTAGGTTTTGCAACGACCTTGACATAGCAACTCAACATGTCTGTAGAATAACATTACAACTTTATTGGGTTTTCATTACAATGGTAATAATGTTAATGAAAGTATATAAAGGCCCACAATGATCCAATTAATACCGAGTAGTATAATGACAAAAGAATAGGAATGCAATTCTTTGGGGATTTCATCATACCAAAGATAAAATGCAACAGATACATTACTCAGGTTATAAAATGGATGCAAATAAAACTAAACCATGTTGTGATGTGTCAGTCCCTTGCCGACCCAAACACAGCTGCAAGTACTAAAAATCTTTATTTATAGCCTCCATTCAGGACAACTCAGTTCTTGAGCCAATTCTAAGCAAACTTATTCAGATATATTAGGAAATCTAATGGGACCAAGCCTCTACCTTAGCTTGCTACTGTTCTCTCCAGTTTAAGACTGTTTGGTGAGGCTGGTGGTGGGTATTAAGGAGGGCATGTATTACATGGAGCACTGGGTATGGTGCATAAACAATGAATCTTGAAACATTTTAAATTAAAAAATTAAATTAAAAAATATTAAATATAATATATGATGATAATACTAAAAGTGTAGTAACATGAAATATAATAAGATAAAATATTAAAAAAAAAAAAGACTGAAGCCCTACCCTGAAATCCAACTGGCTTGTTTAGATTCTCTTACTCTTTTTAGCCCTTAGTAGGCTCTGCCAAAGCTGCAACCTGCCATAGGCTGGAGTTTTTACTTATGCCTTAAGGACCTCTTGGAGCTACATAGCTTCTCCCACCACCTGATTACCAGGATTGCCATCACCTATCCTGTGCCCCTGCATCTTTCTCTAGTTTGGGCCCCAGAATAATGAGGCCTTCCCAGCTTGCACTCAGATTTCATCCTTTCCCCTAGAACTTTATTATTGTATAAGCTGACCACTTCTGGGACTTGTCCTAAAGCTGAATTTAGTCCCCTTCCTTTAAATCTCATCATTTCCAGCTTCCTTCTATATCCTTACCAGCCTATTGAAGTCCTAGAATGCCTCAGGACTGAGTTACATAGGTTGATATGCACAGCTGGAAATGCTAAAATAATTCCAGCTGAAGTACATTGTTTATATAGTCCTTTAGATGAACTGGT